TATAACTAAGGTTTCGAAAAATTACTAACCGAAATCAAAAACTGTATAGCAAATTATGTTATCTGCATTTTAAATAATAATAGAGTATCATTACAATTATTAGTATTTTGTATAACATATATTCAAAACCTCTTCTACGAAAATTTATATTCTTGTATAGTAAAAATTACTAACAGCGGATGGTAAAAAATTGAAATACTTAGAGACATACGTCATCGGATAAGTTGGATACCTTGTTTACAAATTTTCTTGTGGAAGCATACCGAAGCGTGTTGTGATATTTGTTTTTATTTGATTATGCGTATGCTACGGGCACAACGTGCGAGTAGCTTCTTATTACAGATAAATAAAAATGTAGGACAAGATATTGCTCTACATTTTACAACAATTCGTCTTACGGTGTTTGGAGGTTGACCTATCACTACCGTTGACATAAGTACATATGCTCCGCAAGGGAGTACCACGGACATTGCTAAATTGACTTATAAAATTATTTTATAACAATTCAGTTTTGAGAGATTTTTCTAATTTGGCCATCTCTCGAACGTTATTATACTAGAAATTACAGTATTGTTTATAAAAATGTTAGAATATATTATGTAACAAATGCTAAGCTCAAATTAAATTTTTCAAACCGTATAGTAAAATTTCGAGTTTGTATATTATTATTTTCACTAGAATATATATGAGTCTTTATACATCAGAAAATAAAAATATTTAGACAAACGAGAAAGTATTTTTTACTACACATATACTAAAAATTAGTATAAGTAATCTTACAGATAGTATTTGTTATATTTGTAAAGAGAATAGCAATTATTTATAAATTGTGTAGTTATTATTAGAATCGATTAAAAAGAAATATTACTATATTGGTTAGTAAAAATTTCATTGCTGACATAGCACTTATTGTGTTACAGTTCATAGAATTTCTTTTTATGCTTTTTAAATTTTTGTAATCAAATGGTATTATTTAATTTATTTATTTAATATGTTGTAAAATTTACTATCTCAGTTATTAATTTATTATATCAGCTTTTAATTTTTGATACAAAAATTTAAGTTTTAAGAAGAGATATTATTTTTTTGTATTTAGATTTTAGAATTTATAAATTTTTTCACCGCTGTTTTCTCCGTGTATGTGTTTATTTAAAGGGCAGTGAACATTTCCAGAACAAAGAACTACCGCTTTCTGCTGTATCTCATCATGGTTCAAAGATTAAAGGTGATTCTCGTCATCTTTCACACTAATGATTTTATAAAGAGATGCCTAGTGGTGAAACTCTTCGATCATGGATGGTATTTTCTCCTATATCAAGTAACCTGTACTGTTTTTGCTGTCGTTTATTTGCTGTCAGTAACATACAAAGAACATTTACAACTGGATTTCAGAAGTGGTGGAAACTAGATCTTAAAGTATTTGACCATGAAATTTCATGTGAACATTTAGAAAATTTCGAAAATTGGAAAACATTGGAAATGGGATTAAAATCTCACACCACAATAGATGTCGCAACCTTGCAGATACTGAATACGGAAAAACAGAAATGGAAAAATCTCTTATCTACATTATTTGATATAACTATGTTTTTGGCTAAACAAAACCTAACATTTCGTGGACATGATGAAACCCAAGGGTCTTCCAATAAAGGAAATTTCTTAGAACTAGTTAAACTGCTGTCAAAGTATGATTCTGTACTCAAAGAACATATCGTCCCCTCAGTATAACAATAGCGTATAATTTTATTTGGGTTTTGAGAAAATCGAGTTTAAAGTTTTTGTCAAATCAGATGTCTATTAAAACCTCAATATCGCGGTAAATAAAAATTCTTCATAGTAGATTTTTCGACGAGTACATTATATCGTTTCTTGTCTTTAAATTTACCAAGTTTTTTTATTCTACGCATCCTTTAAGACCATAATTATGTTATTCAAAGCGCAAGTCCTCCATATAGGCCATTTTATTTTTTAAGGAATTCGTATGATGTATCTGATACACTATGTTTTTTTTTTTTTGTATGGTATACGCTGTTTTATTCAATAATTTTACTGTATTTTTATTAAAATATTTGATCTCAAAAATATCAATGTGTAACATTATAAAACAGTAATTAATTCATAGTTTGTTAATTCAATGGCATTTATTCATTATTTTCCAATTTGGGTTATTATAAACAGAAAATTATGACAAATGAAGGTATACATTGCGTAAATCAAAAATAAATAGAAATTCGTTCGTCTTCTTTCTCTTCCTCTGCTACATCTGGCTTATCTAAACAATTTCGCTTGTTTCCACCTCGTATGTTAAAAAAAATGACTGCGAGCCACGAGGAATTACACTCTTTTTGCACAAATTTTGAAGATCATGCACTTTCGATTACAAATTGGCAGCTCTTTATTGTGTTTGCCAGTAAACGAAAAGTTGAATACCTCTTTTATTTTTCGCGTTCCTCCAATATCAATTACTTTCAAGTCTCCATCCCATTCCTCCTTGTATAATAATTGTTTTCGTTAAATTTTGTTCACTTGGAGTAATTTAACATTAAGCCAATTTACCGAGTCATTTTTTATATTTTTCTTAAGGCTATGGCCTAAACTAGAAAACATGGCTTTGAGATTAATCATATCACTGTATTGAAGCCTCTCTACAGCATATAGGTTTTTCCGTCTTGCCAGTCTCATTATGGTTGGCCATTCTTCCGGCGAATAAACGCATATACTTCTCTTCGCACGTTCTATTGCAGAGTGTATCGAATCTGCCTCCATTTGTGTGTGTCCGCTTTGGAGGTACTTAATTGTTATCGAATTAAGCTTCAAGGTATTGTTGATATAAATCAATAGTGTAGCAATGAACCTGTTTCTGTTTTGTCCCCCGCAGCAGTCGGAGTAGAGAATAACATCGGTTACAGATTCGTCTAACGAGTTCATCATTTTTAATATAGTGGTCCCAATTTCGTCCGATCCTCGTTGACCCTGATTTTCATCCCATAGAGAACAGTAACCTTCTCCACTGGCAATGTCGTAAAATGTGTCGACTGTAATACATCGTCCTTACGTTGCTACAAGGAGTCGTTAACACTGACTGGAGATCAGAAGTAAACACTTTTAAATTACTGTTACTTTTAGCTGATTTCTTGTCAGTTTGCTTGTTAGTTCTTGCCTTTGTCTTATTTAAGATGTGTTCATCATAGGATTTCCGAAATGAGTCTTTGTCCTCAGCGTTTTTGTACCTCTCGCATGTTAAGCAGGTGTCCTTTTTTGGACGGTGGAAAGAATAATTATAATCCATGCAAAATATCCGGCGATAAACGTTTTCTTTAATGATAGCGTCCGGGTGGAGTTCTTTGAATAAATCGTACATTTGTTACATCGGAGACAAGATAAAATCGTTGACTTTTTGCTCGAGTGTAATGGCTTTCGATGGCTGGAAATAACTCGATGTGCTGTTTGATAAGCGCAACTGTCTCTTCGTTTAATTTTCTCTGGTGGCCATGTTGACCCCTCTTATCAGTAAATTCATTTTGGCACATCTTCTTGGCTAACACAGATATTGCGCCGTCTGACAAGTTCAAAGTATTTTAAAAAAAACTTTCTGCATACCTGTTTGGCTTTGAGAGTATAACTAAATGTGTTCGCCCGCCGTGATCCAATTGTCAACGTCCTTTTGCACTTCTCAATCTTCACGCAATTGGCCAGGAACAGTCGCTGCCTCGAATAGTCGCCTAAATTCCAATAGTCTGCATTGATATCTGTGCGCTCTTCTGCTGAGAAGTTTTCTGTGCAATTATGGCGGCACTTACAGTCAATGGGTTTCGGAACACGTTCTTCAACTCTTTTGCCACTGTTAGTGACATACGGGTTCCCTTTGTTGCGATGATACTTCCTTTTATTCTGCACGCATTTATGACTTTCAATCTATTGATCGGAAATATTTCAGAGTTAGACGTGGCTAGACCCAAACAATATTTCTCAAAAGCTGTTTGCTGTACTCACCTTTCTCTTTCGCGTAAGTATATTTCTACCATTTTCATTCTTGTTATTGATATAAGTATCACCACAGTCTGCAATTTCTTCTAAAACTACATCTGCTGTCTTTATCACTGAATTATCTAATTCATCTGCCAAAGCCAGTACATTATCATCCGAATCGGGGACGTACTCGTCCGACGGTCCTGCGGAGAAGTCTGTACCATTCTCATCATCTGTTTGAGGTATCTCAGCGACTGGTGGTTTCGTGTCGCAGCCTATTGATATTTACCTTACTTACTTCACTTACATTATATAAAAGACGATACTCACTCAGACGTTTAAAATCCATATTTTTAATGAACAAACTTTCTCAGCGAAATGAATTTACAAGCTGAAATATCATATGACTACAATATTTCCTTGGCATTCATATAGTTAAAACAACGTAAAAATCGCATAGGCTACTACTCTTGTAAATTTCTGATAAAACTTTCGAATTTGTATTGAAAATAAAACAGCTTATGTGGAGTATAGAAATGGTCGGAATAAAACTATTTCTCAAACAGTAGTGTATATTATTATAAGCTATTTTATGAGTTAAAGTTTTGATAAATTGTATTTATTTTTACAGGCTATAATGGAGTATAATGCGCATACACTATTATTCTTTTAACAACTTTGCAGTGGCAATTTCAAGCAAAATAGCGCATATGAGCTTATACACTTATTGAAGGAAATTTTTGAACATGAAATTATACACCATTTTTTCCAAGGACATTTTGACCCACTTTGTGGAAGTAGAATTTGACGAAATTTTGACCAGACATAGAATYAATGATGGAGATTCTAAATATGCAATAAAAAAAATAATGGCGTATGAGCACATACGCTATTGTTATATTGAGGGGACGATATATTATACTTGGAGCAGGAAAAATCGCCTAAAGGAACATATTTATCGCCAGAAATACAAAATGAGTTCATAAATGTTTTAGCTAATCACGTAAAATGTCAGTTTGTCAACGAAATTAAATCGGCCAAATATTTCGGAATCATGTTTCATAGCACACATGACCTTTCACATGTCGATCAAATGTCTGTATTAATTCGTTATGTAAAAATTAATAATAGAAAAGTAGAAGTCAAAGAAGTATTCTTAGGATTTTTCCATTACATGGAAAATATCAGCTGATTTAAGCACTGAAATACGAAATGCACCAATTTTAAAAGATCGTTATAAACTTTTATTTTCTGCGAAATTCACTTCATACTTGTTGTAATAAAATAGGTTTAATTGAACTGAAGTATTGGATAGTTTAACAACGTTAAATGTATATTATATAAATATAAACTGATCAATTATATATATTGGAACCAGTAGGTTTTAAAAAACGTTAAATATATATTAGATATAACTATAACTCGGGTAAGCGGATCGGAACCGGGGTGCTGCGGAAAGCGAAGATGTTGATTGCTCGACGTCGTAACAAAAACAGGTACGCGAGATCCTTTCTCTTTTCCTTTTATTCTAATTGGAGTGTAGAATGTCATCGCATTTGGGCGCATGCGCGTGTATGTGTGGTGTTCTCTCGCGTGATGAGGTGAATGGTTGATTCCGTGTGGTGAATTGATGTAAATGTGATGTGACGTCGCTACTCATTTAGCCATCCCGGCCCCCCTAGGCGAGTATTTAGCCTAGAAGCCACTGTAGCTGCTGTAGCGTAGCTACAACGCTACCTAGACCTGTTGACCGGCGGGATTGCGGCCTAAGTTGATGGCGCCGTGTTAATGTTGACCGGTTTTGGCGCCAGGGACGGGATTCTGCTGGAAAGGGTCCACGCCGGCAGTATGCCGTCACAGGAGTTCTTTGAGAATGCCTGACTTTACCGCTGGTGCGAGGAGCCGGTGGTCGCCCGGAGTCGCGTCTAGTATTGCGGTGCAGCAGCGTATGATGAGCCCGCACGCAGATTTTTCTACGATTATGTGATGGGCACTCCTGATTTGCGTGAGAAGTTTCCAGGCAATTCAGGCAATACCCGTGCGCCTGTGCCAACTTCTGACGTTGCATCGGCAAAATACCTTTAAAGATGCCGCAGTGCGATAGCCGATGCGGGCAGCGACATAGTGGACAACGAATTCATTACAGATCCGCTGTTAATGCGGGTAATGCTGGCGTGCTTTGACACGGAGCCGTTTTCGTGGTGGAACTTGTCACTGTTCGAGGTGCTGCCGGTGCAGTGTTGGTCCGGGGGGCTGCTATTGGGGCAGCTTCAGGGCAAGGGGCGGAGACTGCCGAACGCATGGTTGGCCTTGACGATGATGCCATATCCACGTCCATATTACTCTGTGAGAGAAATTATGATATTAGTAATATATTGTGAAATTTACAACAATATAGACTTTTGTGCCACGATATGTGGCATGAATAGAATGTCATTTTTTTATCAGACATTTATGTTGAGTCTTTTGTTTCATTTATGTTATTCGAGGTTTCGATTTGGTAAGTGGTTTATATGTTTTATCGATTTATTGATTTACTAACGGTTTCGGTTTTACATTTCTTTATCTTCGGCGGTTGGTAGAAATCATAATTTGACGAGCGGTCTGGTTAGCGTTCCGGACCCATAATGAAGTTGTTTTAAGCGGCCGAGACGCCATTCCGTAGGAGGGAGACAATCGTTTTGTATAAGGACGCAGGCTCCAAGCTTTGGTGCATTTTCTTGAGTTTTCCACCGGTATCTCTTGAGAGGGTCCTTTATGTAGTCTTCCTTCCATCGGCGGCTGAAATCATGATGGAGGATTTTAATTCGCTCCCATCTGTTTAATAAGGATAGCGATGTGAAGTCGGAGGGATCTTGCGAGAGTGGTGTGATAATGTAGTAAACTCCTCGTAATTGAATTTATGGTTACCAGCCGTTTTCTTTAAATGGGACTTAAAGCTCTTTACTGCTGATTCCCAGAGTCCGCCCATGTGAGGAGAACAAGGGGGTATGAATTGCCAATCGGTCCCTTGGGGTGCATATTTTTTGACAATTTCGGGGGACACTTCTTTCATGAATTGTAAAAACTCCTTTTCCATGGCTCTTTGAGCTACGACCAAGCTTTTTGCATTGTCGCTCATAATTTTTAAAGGAAATCCGCGTCGTCCGACAAAGCAAGCAAATGCTGCAAGAAAAGCCGCAGTAGTCAGATCCGAACATAGCTCGAGGTGTACTGCCTTTGTTGTAAAACCTTTTCTAAATCAGGAAAACCTTAGCATCGAGGCCTTTATCTGGAAAGGTCCAGCAAAACCAACCCCAGTGATGGTAAATGGTAAAGCATAGTTGCAGCGGTCAGGTGGTAGGGCTGCCATGATCTGCGTACGCATCTTGTGCTTATACATAGTACACTGTTTACACATGAAAATATTTTTTTTAATTTGTGGCTTTAGACGCGGTATACAGAAATCTTGTCGGACCATTTGTTGCATCAAGCGATGCTCACCAAGCAGTGTAAGCTGGTGGAGATATATTAGAAATAAGTAGGTAAAACGGGATTTATCTCGGATAATGATGGGATGGTGTTCGTTATAACTAAGACTGGAGTTGGCTAGTCTTCCATTTGCCTTAGCGTCCAGGAATGGGTTTAAGACGAGAAGCGAGCTTTCCTTTTCGAGAGGTCGCTTTTCCAGCAA